CTGAAGAGAGTCTTGGTGCTATTCCTGAGCATTGAGAGGCTCTCAAAAACTGCAGACTCAGACTCAGATGCAGCTGAATTTCTTCCCGAAGTTTTGCAGATATTATTTACCTTCAATTTTCCCTGAAATAAATAGAAAAACAAGTACTTCTGTTTTTTCCCTTGAGAACTCAACATGAAGAAATACATAGCAAAGATATGGCAGGAAAGCACGGGTCAGGGAAGGTAAAGAAAGGAATAGGAGAAAAGAGATAAGGCTTGAAATGTGTTTATAGTCTCTTCTCTCCCATTGCTTTTGGCATCCAATACCATAATGACCAACCACAGGATGTACTTCAGCCTTTGGTACTAGAGCTTCAGGGTCCTCTTAGGTGACCAAAAATAATCTGAAAAGAAAATTAATTTAAGAGATTAATTAACTACTGGAAAAAGTTTAACAGACGTTGAAGAACTAGACTTCGAAAATTAACTGGTGCTAGTTCAGAGATGGAGGAAAGTAGTAATGCAAGGGTGACCTCAGCCAACATAGGTCTACAGGTCTACTTTGTGGAAGCCTGAACCTCTCAAGACAGAAAGGGATGCTGAGTCTAAGCAAGGCAGATAAAAGCATGTTGTATGCCTATGGCCTCTATGCCAAGACCAGGGAACATCCTATTACCCACAGTCTGACAAGATTAGAATGTTATGCTCTGAGGAGGCAGCAGGCTGGGGATGGGGGAGAGTATGGCACAAAACTGAACATTTAAAAAAAAAACTGAACAGGCAAGCTATAGTAGTTTGTGAGCTAAAGAAAGAAGCGTAAACTGCACTTGGCCTTGATGTCCCTGTTGTTGACCAGATGGTATATGTGTCTGTGGTAATACACTGGGATTTTCAGGTCTGCGGGGAGAAACAATAAAACTCAATACACATTATTTCACATAAAACACATTTGTAGGAGGGGCAGATGGAAAAAAAATGGAGAAAGTAAAAGAAAATAGGAAATTCCAGAGTCAAGTGATGTTACGGGGTTGTAAGAAGAGAAGAAATTAATTGTTCTGGATTTAAAGGCTTCACATACAGAGAAAAATCTCCTTCCATATCTGTGCAATTATCTTCTACATCATTCTGCCTAAGAAATGCAGAGCATATAAAAAAATCAGCGTCCCTGGAAATGTTTACTCCATTGTTATCACCGTTATGATCTCTTCAGAGCCCCTCACTTCAACGGCTGGCATAAAAGGTTGCAATGAAGTCCAAGGAGAATAGTTAACATAAAGTAACAGCAGCAAGCAGAGAATGGACAAGGTGGTGGGGGGAGGGGGCAGTGAGAGAGAGAGAGCCCACATAAAACAGCAACAGAATCATTTCCAAAAGCCCAGATATAAATTCTTTCCTCCAACCAAAAGTCAATCATTTTTCTCTGTGTGTAAAATAGCACACATTCTTATTCAAGCTGTAAGCTTAAGGCCGTTCACTCACTACCCTGCTGCAGTCCTAGGACACAAGCTACATCATGGCCAACTTACTGCTCCACTTCTGTTTCCAGAAGTCACACACTAGAGTCAGTTTCATTTCTTTGTAGTCACCCGTTTTGCAACTACAGGGCTATTACAAAGTCACCTGAGGTTACGACTTTAAACAGCAACACAGTACTACGCAGCAACCGTAGAATCCAAGACAGCACCCCAATCTCAGGGTCATCTCAGTCCTTGACATTCCTTTCTTTGTTAATTCCTCAAGAAGAAATTATAGAGCTGGCACCAACAGTGGCTTCAGCACCAACAGTAAAGGGCTGGAGGCAACTGTAAACATCACCTCCACAATGAAGGTAACCTTATTACTCACCACATTCAAAGCGCAGCCCTAAAGAAAATATTCACTTCTTATTCCTTTTCTTGTATTTTTTTCTTGGCCACTCGGTTTCAGCTGAGTGAAGTATGACTATGTGAAAATGATTACGAGGAGTTATTAGGAGAGAGAATGTTTATAAGATATCTTAGCAAGAAATGTATACTTTTGCCTTTGGGAAATAAAGGACAACTTCGTTGCTGTGTCAAACTACTTATTACTCATACAAATAAAAATACGGCTAGTACTGTGGCTCACACTTGGAATCCCAGAGTTTTGGGAGGCCAAGCCAAGAGGGTCACTTGAGGTCAGGAGTTCAAGAGCAGCCTGGACAACATAGCAACACCTTGTTTCTACAGAAAAAAAAAAAAAAAAAAATTAAATATTAGCCAGGCATGGTGGCACATGTCTGTTGTCCCAGCTATTAGAGACTGAAGGGAAAAAATTGCTTGAGCCAAGGAATTTGAGGTTTTAATGAGCTACGACTGCGCCACTGTACTCCAACCCGGGCAATGGAGCTAGACCCCATCTTAAAAAATAAAAATTAAATCACATGGAGAATTTAAGGAATCTCTGGGTTAATAATTTATCTGCTCCAAAACAACATTTGGGTCATTGCTCCAGTGATCATTTCCCTTCAGCCCCACAAGAAGCTTCCTAATTAGCACCAAGGGAGAGGTTGTGACACAGGCAAGCGGACGAAGCTCCTTGAGAGTAAAGGACATTGCTTTTCACTACCTATGAAATGTAGAGCACGCAGAAGCTCACGGATATAATAAAATATAACCAGGAAACAATTCTGTCAGCATTAACAACTAAATGAAGTGTTAGCCTAGATACAATCTACAAGGAGATGAACACTCGAGCACAAGAAAATACTGTGTGACATTTGTTCAGTTTGGATTCCATCAAAAAAATAGATGTTCATTCTAATAAAAGTTCATTATAAAATCTGAGAGCCAAAAAAAGATAACATTCTAAATTAAATAACAACTGACTAAACAACAAATGAAGGCAAAAAATAAACTAGATATCAACTGAGTGATGACTATGCTTATAGTTCAAGAAAAAAGTTACAGAAGCAAATGCAGAATTTATGAGAAAATATAACTGAACCAAAGGCGTTACTTCAAAAATGCGTAATAAAATGGATCTTGAAATTATTTGGTGAAAAACTGCTGAGAATTGAATAGATTTGAGACAATCTGTTATCTTGCAAACTCAATCTTTACTCGGTTGGTACTAGTTCTAGGATTTTATTAAAACAGAAAATAGCAATGAAATGACCATAATACCACTGCCCCAAATGCACTGTTTTTCCATCTTTATCTACATAAAAATGTCAGAAAGATTAAGGGGACATAGTATTGTTTACTGTAATCAGTTCCAGTGAAAACTTACCATTTCTTCAGGATATAAATAAACTAAAAAACATGTTTTGGAATGCAGAGATCTATTTTACTTTATTTATAATGCCAAAAAGTTGTCAATCAATACCTGATTAGTTAGAGGTAGAAAGGTAATCATTCTGATTGTCTTCAAAAACACAAAGTGTCTTTGTGTTTGCTCAAACAACTATACTTTGCAGTCTGTCCCAATGAAATCAAACTGGACTTCTCAATCCACCACTGCAAATTGGTTAACTATTCACTCAACCTATACATTCATCATTGTGTTCTGCTTCATGATAGCTATTTCATTTTACATTTTATATAAAATTTGAAAAATGACTGCAATTTATAAAAATGAAAAAGTAAATTGTAGAAATACACCTTTTTGACCAGCAAAATTTTACTAAACAATCTCAGCAAATTTCATAATTCGTCTTTCAATATCACAGTCTTTTAGTGTCAATGAAAACAATAATTTATGAATTAAAACATCTTTTTTAACCTGACAGGAAAATATATAAGCACAATTTCTGGATAAAGAAAATGAGGTGCAGTTAGCAGTGCTCTCTCGGTGCTTCATTTTAAACAGTAAACACAGTACCAATCATCATTTTGATTCCAGTGAATAAAAAGTTAAGATTAAATTTATTAATCAACTTTGAAGTCTGAAACCAAAATGATCTTTTAACAGCATTGCCAATTCTAAACAGCATTGTCGATTCTAAAAGGCTAATCATAATGCCAAATTTTGACCAAATGATAAAGTGGCTCTGTTACCATGGTACCCAAGTCTGTCTTTTTGTTGGGTTTCTATTTGCCATAACAACCAAGGATTGAATTACATTTAAGAAGTATACAAGGCTTGATGAAATTGAATATGGGGGATTAAGCATTTTTAAAGTGTGGGTTATAATTCCTTTTGCAACACAAGTTCTACTGCATAATTTGCAATGGCCTAAAAAGTTTTTAGCAACAAAATGTATTTTAAAAATATCATCATCCCTACATGTTACATTAACTGTAGACCACTTCAGCTTTTTATTAACATAGAAAAGTATAACTTTTCCCAAAAACTGTAAATAGTGACCATATTTCAATCACAGCTGTCCTGAACTACTCTCATTATCAGCAGGACTTTGTGGTGTCACCTCTTTATTCTAACAGTAAAAATGGTGACAATGATATTCAAGAAGAAGGCTGGAGAACCTGAATCCAATTAGTGACAAAATGGACTTTTTAAACAAACATTGGGTTTTTATAGTGTTTTCAGGTGCAAAACATCCATTACATAAGTTAAACAGCTGAGAGGACACAAACTGCCAACTTGCCAAGACTACTTTGTTCCATAGGATTTTGATCCCTTCTAACACAACAATGGCATATAAACTGAGCTATGAAGAATTATGTCCATATAAATGAAAACAAACATAATAAACCTATAGGAAGTTTAAAAGTTTTGTTTTTGGCTGGGCGTGGTGGCTCAAGCCTATAATCCCAGCACTTTGGGAGGCTGAGACAGGCAGATCACGAGGTCAGGAGATCGAGACCATCCTGGCTAACAACGTGAAACTCCGTCTCTACTAAAAAATACAAAAAAAAAAAAAAAACTAGCCGGGCAAGGTGGCAGGCGACTGTAATCCCAGCTACATGGGAGGCTGAGGCAGGAGAATGATGTGAACCCGGGAGGCGGAGCTTGCAGTGAGCTGTGATCCGACCACTGCACTCCTGCCTGGACGACAGAGCAAGACCCCGTCTCAAAAAAAAAAAAAAAAAGTTTTGTTTTTAAATATTCAAGTGTAATACTTCTGTGAAAGATTAAAACATACATTTCAACTCTGTTGGATGTGTCCATTTCCATTTACCCCTAACCTGCCATTAGTACATAGGTTTGCTAGGCTGCCAAATATCCCAACTAACTGGTCATGAAGAGAGATGATGTTATTAGTTGAAAGAAAAGCATGGATACCACGACATTTATCCAAATGGTATGAGACCCATCTTTGCATCCCTGAAGTAAGAATGGCCACTTCAATTAAATTGCTCTACACGAAAGCAGCACTGTCCGTGGAGAGTTACTTCAAATCTATAACATTCCACTACTACAGATACCAATTCCAAACTTAAAAAAAAAATTCAGACCAAATCCATGTACCCGTGATCCTTTGTAAATCCTAAAACATAGAAATAATCCTAATTTTAATCAAGAATTATATTGGAATGAACTAAAGACATCTTTTAAAGTAATTTTAAGTGTACTCTTCTTTGCTATTACACTTCTACATAGATTATATAATATTGCTTATGGACATAATTTGATCAATAATATATAATAATGTCAATCACTACAGTGACCCAGAATCTTATTCTGGCTATGGAGGAAGCTTAATTATTAAGCAACGCCTTCCTAAAAAGCTTCTGAATTTCTGATTCATAAGAAAAACAACACAAATGAAAAGAGTATCTCTAACTGAAATAACACTGAAGTTCGAGCTTGGGCCCCCTCCTTTGTGTTCAACATAATTAACTCTTCAAAATGAAACATTTAGTCACATTAATAAATTACAGTCATCTTCAAGAAAACTCTGTGGGCAACTCTGGTGTTACAGTTGTGTATCTTGGATCCAACCTGGGGATGAAATCCTGAAAGTGTTTAGATGCACCAGTACCAAAAACATCAAGGACTTTTCGGTTCATGACAGCAAATCTGTAAAACAAAGAATACAGTAAACCAAGTATTAATATAGTTTATAAAATAATTCATTTTAGTTGACTTATCTTTTGTGGGATGGGAAAACAGAAAAGGCTAACGTGGCAAAGGATCTAAATTCAATGGCAGATTCAAGTCACATGAATGCTTTTCTTCGAGATACACTGTCTCATATTTTACTTAAAGAGATAATCCCCAGATCTGAAACCGCAGAGATTACAATCATTATTTCAAATCCTTCTAGAATTCTTTCCACTAGACTGTATCAAATAGAAAATTAGGTTCATTATTATTTTTATGATGAATAAATTCACAGGAAACTAAACAATAAATGAACTAACATTACCAATGAGGCAAAAGCATTAAATGTAACTCCTCTCATAATTCACATCTTAATGTCTCACAATCAAATGAAAACACATTCAAATGTGGAAATGTTTAATGACTAAAAGGCAAACAGCATACAGGTTTTCAAATGTCTAATAGACACAACACAGTAAAAACATACCCTAATGTTATCCATTACCTAACCTAAGATATGTAACATTTTTCAAATACACAAATTTAGCTAATGTACAGGATAGACCTTCTGGGTCTCTGTGCTTATTCACAAGCATTTCTTTATTTCCTTTCTGGAGAAAACAGCTGAATGAAATTAGTTTTGAATCACTGGCCAGCATTATTCTGACAGCCTATAAATGTGACTTTGAGTACTTTTCCAAAGTAAGTTCCCTTCCAAAATAATCAACTAGTAAAACTCATTAATGTGCAGAAAACTAAATGACAAAAAAATGATTACACAATAATAAATAAAGGATCTACAGCGACACGGGTAAGAGGGAAAGTTCTGAAGCCAGACTGCCTGATTTATGTTCTAACTCCTTCATTTACTAACTGAGTGACTCTGGCAAGCTATCTAACCCCTTTGTACATTTTGGCTTCCTCATATGTAAAACAGGGATAATAATAGTACCTAACTCATAGTTAGGATTTAAGGATTAAATGCATATTTATGTATACGTGTATATTGTATGTGTGCCTCTTAAAACCACACCTTGGACATTGTAAGCACTATACAAGAATTTGCTATTATTCTTAGTAATGATAGTAATATGTGCAATTTACCCAGTGCTACTATAAGCATCTTGATTTTCCTACAACCACACAATGTATGCATTATTGTTTCATTGTAGACAGAAAAAAACTTACGCGCATGAGGGTAAATAATTTTCCATAGTAACACAGCTGAAAGTAGCAGAGCTGGACTCAAATTTAGGTCTGCCTGACTCTAAAACCCATGCTCTTTCTATTAGGTCAAAATGCCTCCCAAAGAATTAGATTAAGATCAGGAGAGAAAACAAAACAAAGTAAAAATGATACGTAAGGTAGAGGAAAGTATATTTACAACAAGAAGCAATGCAATATGACTATTTCCTAAATGGAAATCAGTTAATTAAGTAGAGATGATCTTTAATGAATCTGCTTAATATTTTTAATAAAAAAGAAATGTCCAATGATTCAAACAGTCAGACTTAAGTATTTATGTAGCAATTAATCAGTAGTTAGCAAATCAACATGATATTAATCTAGACCACTTAAAACATCTACATTATACAGGGAAAAGAATGGTGAGAATAATGATCACTCAAAAAACGCCCCATGTTATTCTTAGTAAGTTGCTCATATTTTATTTATATATAAATACCTACTTTACCACTGAAAGAATATTCCCTCAAAAAGATAAAACCACTAATAATATTTTTAAGAAAACTGCTTAGTCACTTACTTGCCCTTGGTGAGTCTTAAAAGGAACTTCCAGTAAGATGGTCTCAAAGTCTGAACTTCCATGACAGCCTAAGATTATTAAATTTGAGAATTCTTTTAGTAAGTATAAATGAAAACTGAAAGTGATGAAATACACAAAGGTGTATTGATGTTTAAGTTGGTAACTATCAAGAATCTTTGTAAATATGCCTTCAAATAAAAATGTTGCTTTTGGCCGGGCGCGGTGGCTTACACCTGTAATCTCAGCACTTGCAGAGGCTGAGGCAGGCGAATCACCTGAGGTCAGGAGTTCGAGACAAGCCTGACCAACATGGAAAAACCCCGTCTCTACTGAAAATACAAAAATTAGCCAGGCGTGGTGGTGCATGCCTTTAATCCCAGCTACTTGGGAGGCTGAGGCAGGAGAATCACTTGGACGCAGGAGGCGGAGGTTGCAGTGAGCTGAGATTGCGCCACTGCACTCCAGCCTGGACAAGAGCAAAACTCCACCTCAAAAAAAAAAAAAAGTTGCTTTTGAAGTAATAATTAAGTGAATAGTCATTATCAGGAAGGATTTGCTGAGATATTGATACTTCATTAGTTTTAATGAGTTTTTCAACCTGGCAGCATTTTGTGAGAAAGAGCAAATAAAAGTTTTCCCAAAAATTTTAAAACAGCCCTAACACCATTAATGTCAATAATAATGGTTACAGAATTTAGAGATTGAACAATGCTTATATGAAACTAGTTCTTCCTCATCCTCATTCTGAATATTGGAGAAATGTAATTATTTATATTTATGCCTATGCCTATTACCAGCATATACCTATTATCCTTTTTTTTTCTAATCAAAGGGAAGGATAATTAAATTGGGGCATTCTTCCCAAGGTACTGGAATAATAATTTACTTATAAATTGTAGTCTATTAAAACCTAAAAATTGGTGTACTCATAGAAAGGACCTAGCCCATTAAGTTAACATGTTTAAAGATCAGAAGCCTGTAAGCTATCTTGCTGAAAAAAAACAAAAACAAAAACAAAAACAAAAAAAAGAAGCTTAAAATGTAATACTGTAAATAGAAATGTTCCCAGAGTTTGTTTTTCTCCCATTTGATTAATGTACATTAGAAACAGGAATCATTCAATTTCTCATTTCAAGAAGCTATACTTACTGCCTGGAAGCAAATTGCTGTAGAGATGGAATAGATGATAGTATCTGCATGAGGAAAATAGGGAAGCTTCCCTGCTTCAATGCCTTTGAAATACATTGTCTGCAAAACAAGCATAAGACAACAGTTATAAAGAAAAAACCTCAGCATTAAAAACATAGTTGAGCATTGTGCTCCCTGCCTACAACTATGTTTTCTACCTTTCTGAATCCTAATACTCCCTTCAGAGCTCAAACCATGTCACATTTTTCATAATGATGTTAAGGGTCAGCCCTTCCCTTTCCCTCACTGTTTTGCTCCAAATCCCAGCTTCAAGCAGTAATACTTTTCTGTAAATTCAGTAACATTTTATTTCTGCTTTTTAAATGATATTTACTCTTCAATGCTTTCTGTACAGTGCTCATGTGCTCTCCTCCCTGATAGAGCTGTTCATCCTTCATTAATTTATTCAGCAAACATTTAACGGTATCTACATGTTGGGCACTGTTCTTCACAAAATAAAGAATATAAACAGGATGAGAACTCAAAAGAAGTCACTGACAGGTGGCAACAACCTCCTCTTCTTCAACTTTGCATGATCTTCAATACCTACCCCAGACTATGGCATTAAAACACTTGCTAAGTAAATCGGACTCTTTTAAAATTATATCCCAACTGAATTGCCATAAAAAGAATCCTCAAGATCTATATAAGCTACCGTAACCAAAGAGCAAAGCAACAAAGGAAATGATAAGGTGAATACTTTACATACAAATCAACCCAAAAGTATATACTGAGGATTAAATGTACATAATATGTGTAAGAGACTGGGATATATGAGAATTGTAAGATATATACCAAGTTATAATCTACTTTGGAAACAAGATAAATAAATATACATTGGCCATTATTTTGAAAAAAAATGTAACAGTATATTGCAAGATACAGATATATTGTGCTGTATTCATGTTGAAGAAAATTTAATTCAGATGTGGTAGAACTGCATCACACAAATGTTAAGTGAAACAGCTATTTCCCAATAGATAGAATAACTGTGTTTCTAATTATTTATAATAAAATTCATTTAATAAACCAGATTCTAAGTTAATGAAGGATAGAAACCATATCCTATACTTCTATACTCTTTCCAGTATGTAGCACAGTAATGAGAACATAATATATACTAAATAAAAATATGCACTTGACTCAGAGGTTCCTAGAAAACAATGGTCTATACAGTTGATTTTTATATCATTTTCACTGTACAGTAATAGAGCATTTTAACATAAAATTAACTTCAATCATAGAAAAATGATTGTCTATTACAACAGAGCAACAAATTCCACAAAAGGACATAGCAAGCTTAAATTTCTAATCTCCTTAATTTTTTTTTTAAAAAGTCTCCACCAGCACAGTTTATATGCCAGTTTCTTTTGCCAGGATCAGATATGGCCTGATGACACAAGAAAGGGAGAGATACCATTGCTTGCCTTAAAAAACTCTGGCCACTTCGCTGTAAAACCCCTTTAATAAACTAGATCTCAATATTGGTTTCCTCTTGTGTTAAAGAATATATTTTTGCCACCTAAGGATTATTTTCTTTCTCTCAGTTCCCTTTTCCTCTCCATTAGCAAGTCTTGTCAACTCTACTCCTAAACATACACCAAACCTGTGTAGTTCTCTCCATCTCTGCTGCTACCATCGTGGTGCAAGGCACCATCTCCTGACAGAGACTAACTGTTCTCTCAGCTTCGGTCCTGCCTCCCTCTACATAGTAGCCAGAATGTTCTTCTTAAAATGTGAATTAAATACTGTCATTTCCATGCTTAAAACTCTTCAGTGGTTTCCAGCGCACTGAGAAAAAAAAATAAATTATTTACCCCAGCTTTTAAAATCCTACATGATCTGGCTCCTGCCTGTCCTCCTGATTTCATGATGTATATATTCTCTCAATCTCTCTCTCTCTCTCTCTCTCTCTCTCTCTCTCTCTCTCACACACACACACACACACACACACACACACACAAGCACATATTTGGGTAAAGCAAGTAATTAAACAAGTTAAATAAAATCTATACTCTTAACTTTGAATTAGAAATATCAATATGCTCCAAATGTATTTTCTGTCTCTAAGAAGAAAGGGGAGGGAGATTCTCTAGCTCCATTCACTGCGAAAGCCAAGAATCAGTAACTAGCCTGGGAGCAAATAACCTCTAGTACCCGGACTGAAATCTTTAAATACCATTTCCCACTAAAACAAACTAGGAGCCATTACAGAGAAGACTGATTCTATGTCTGAGGCAGAAAATGTCCCAGATGAGCCTGGAATATATTGTCTTACAGCAAGAAAGCTATCAAAGATAATGGTGTTATGTTACAACAAACAGGAGTCAACTTAAGGAAGCTCTCATGGCCAAATATGGGAACAATTTGAGCATAATGATTGCAATGGGTTAAAATAAATCATATATGTTAAACTCCAAATCTTCATAATGATACTTTAAAAACAAAGACTCACTGGTCAACTTTGCAGGATGCTAACGTACTAACTCATTCTAAACACTGGTAATTAAAAATGAAGTAATCAAGCATTTTATTTTGACTTCCCAGAACAACATATTTCAGAGTAACCAGTTGAAAATGAAAAATGCTTTTAGAACAATTTCAGCTAATAAACACAGAATGAACAAACAATAATAGTATTTTTCATCATTTTACAACCCTTAATGAAATAATAAATCCCAGTGATTATTAACAGCTGGTAAAACCACTAGCTAAAAGGCTACTGGGGAACCTTATGTTGGCTCTATCAACACCTAAGCCCACTGATCAATCTTAGCATTACAATAAGAGAGACAACCAGACATTTTTGTGCCTCGTCATGCAACTGAAAGTTCACATACACAGTAAATATGAAGTATGTCTGTTACCGCCTATAAAAATTTAAACCTGAATTTGCTTAGGCCTCAAGATCTAACAATTTTTAAAATTCATGAGTTAAACATGTTAACAACAGTGAGGATGCAATCAGCAAAATTCAGAATTTGGGAAATTCCCTGAACTAATGACCTACATCTTCAACAAATAAATGTCAAGGAAGGAGGAGAAGGAGGAAGAAAAGCTGTAGCAGCAGTAGTAGGGGGGTAACTATTATAAACTAAAAGAAACTTTGTTTGGAACTTGATTAAAATAAAATGATTGTAAAAAGATATTTATAAGATAGTCAGTGAAGACATAAACTCTAATTGGATATATTATATTACTATGGAATTACTGGGAGGGTTTTAATGTATGATAATGATACTGAGGTATTGTTGATTTGTTTGTTTTGAAGAAGCCTTTAGCCTTTATTCTTTAAGGAGTCTTTACTCTGAGATTTTTTTAAGGATGAAATGATATAATGTATGGGATTTGCTTTAAAACAATTGGGTACCTGTGGGGTTGAGGAGTGTAGATGAAAGGAGACTGGGCAAATGCTGGTAACTGTTGAAGCTGCATGATGGGTGCATGAAGGTTAATTACACTACTCTTTCTATAATTAATGTATATTTGAAAATAACACACACATACACAGAAAAACACAGGGGAATCAACTTTGCAAATACTTTTAGAGGATTAAAATTTACTTTTGCCATTGGGATATATATTTGCTGTTAAAACAGTCAGCAGCTAAAAGCTTTATATTCTTTGGAACTTTTCATGCATAAAAATTTTGCTTACCTCTACCAATTTGGATGCTAAGTACATGGAAATTGTTGTGCTTTTATAAAACATCATTGATATACCTGCCAAAAATCCTGAAACAAGAAATAAGAAATAACTGATAAGATCGCAAAGTGTTTATTTAGCATTACGTCATCAGAAATGTAAATTCAGTTACACAGAATCAGCACTACCTCTGTTACAACACAATCAAGGACAGTAATACACCAGATGACATTAAAATGGGGTGAGTTATTATTGCATATTTTTTTATTTAAAAATTGATATTCAGAGTTAGAAATAAACAGTTCTGATTTATGTATAACAAAAAGCTTTACATTTCTATTTTAACTTTAAAGAGGAGTGGTCTTGCCAAATACAATTTTAAAAAAATAATTTTTCAAGGCCTTTTGGTATCATTTTGATTTTAAGTGGAAATATTTATTCATATATTCTTCTAATATTAAATAGTTCAAATAATTTTTAGTGCTATCAATACTTCTCTCCACAGCACTGCTTTCATTCATTCTATAAATGGAAAACCAAGGCCAGGGGAAGAGAGGAGTTGTTGAATACTAATAACTAAGATTATTCCTAATAAATACCTGATAAATTATCTATTTAATTTAATAATATATTACACTTATGGAAAATAATATTTAGATTTTTTAATAAAATGATTAAGGTCCTTTAAAAAGTTATTATGAAAATATATGCCATTTTCTCATGGTAAAAATAGAATTTTCAATGAAATCTACTTGAACTTCCATTAATCACTTATATGGTAACTATAAGGCTTTACGTTCTTTTGTGACACATTCGTTAGGATTTATGGCCTATAACAGGACAGATACCCAAGTCATTACACTGTCAACTCAAAACATCAGATGGCAACAGTGCCTTAATATGTTAAACATCACAAAGTATTTGGACAAGTGCCTCAACTGGGATTCTATTACAATAGAGAAACGAAGATACATAGAAATTGGATGAATTGGATGGTATTTCTAATTCATTCCTACCACTGATTAATACAATAATAACTATTCATTTTTTATTATTGCTTTACCAGCTATAATAGCATGTAGTTCATCATCTAAGTTTCTGATCCAGCGCAGGAAGCAACTAGTACCCTAGTTAAGGAGAAAATACAATGACTATAGTTATTTCATTTCTAGAAACAAAAGCATAAAACAAAAACAACTATAACGAATCAATTCATCAGATTACCTTGTAGTTCAATTAGTGATCTGATCTAAATCAACCTGAATATGTGATTGGAAAAATTATGAAAAATAATATTTTATAAAGTTATTACTCTGGATAGACTCTATTAAGAAATTACACATAATATTTTTATTGCACTGATTTTTCAAAATAAATCCATAAATTCCACTTTTGCCTAGCTATCGAATGCTGAGAAAAGCATCATTCCCATTTTAACAAGAACAAAATGCTGGTTAAACAAGTCTGTCAGGCCACAATTCTATACCCAGAGAAAATATTTCTCAAAACTGAAGATGAAACAAATATTTTTTCCGGACAAATAAAAGCTGAGAAAATCCATGACCAGCAGATCTGAGCTCACACAAATGTTAAAGATAGAAGGAATATGACACGAGACAAAAATTTAGAACTATGAAAAGAAATGCAGAGTTCTGGAAATAGAAAAGTGAAGGTAAATTTAGAAGACATATTTTTCTTATATTTACTTGCACAAAAAGTTAATTAACTATCTAAAATAGGAGTCAGCAAACTATGGCTCACTAGCCAAATCTGGCCTGCCACTTGTTTTTATATGGCTCAGGAGCTAATAATCATTTTTATAGTCCTAAATAAATGAAAAATAAAAGAATGACAACATTTTACGATGTGAAAATTATACAAAGTTCTAATTATAGTGTGATAAAGTTTTACTGAAACAGCCACACTCATTCATTTATATATTGTCTATAGCTGCTTTCACACTGTAACAGCAGAGGTGGGTAGTTATGACAGAGACCATATGGTCACAAAGCCTAAAATAGTCATGATCTGGCTCTTCACAGAAAAAGTGTGCTGACCCCTGATCTAAAACAAAAATAGTACCAACACATTGTGGAGTGTATAACACATAAAAATAAATGATAAATGTTAAATTCTGTAACAAAGGATGGGAAGGAGAAATTCAAAGTACAGTGTTGTAAGGTCTGACACTGTATGTGAAGTAGTATAACATTACTTGAAGACTGGCTGATACATTAAAAATGTGTATTATAAAATGTTAAGGCAGCCACTAAATGAAAGCAAGCACAAATAATAAGGCAATCATGAAGATTGAATAGAGCCATAGTAAAATACACAATCAATCCAGAAGGCCGAAAAAGAAAAAAAAAAAAAAAAGAAGAAAAAAAGGAGCAAACACAAAACAACATGAAAGTAGGTTTAAACTCAATCACATCATAAACTATATATGTTTACATATAATACATTATATGTAAACAGTACAAACATGTCAATTAGAAGACAGAGATGATCAGATTCTATAAGAAAGGGCCAACTCTCTCCAGCCTAAAAGAAACTAGTTTTTCAAATGAAGACGGAAAAATTAAAGTGAAAGAATGGAAACATTATTACATCAAACGATAATTTTAAAAAGTTGAAGTAGTTATATTAATATTAAATGTAGACTATAAAACAATGAATATTACCAGAGATAAAGAAGAACCTTACCAAATTTTTTAAAAAGGGTCAGTTCACCAAGAAACAGAAAAAACAAGGTTTATTTGCCTGCCCTACTCTCAACATTCTTACAAAGATACTATAGCATGGGCAATTTGTTTTTGAAAAATCACATACAGTTTTTGAACACACCACATGAATATTTTCTGAAATTTTCTGACCCAGTTGTATTTTTGTTAGTTTAATACCATTTGTTCGTATTACCTAAGCAAATAAATAGTAACAGAAATGAAAAATAAAAAAGCAAAACGAAACACACTCTGAGATATGCTAGATGGTAGGGAATAACCAACCTGGGGCTAAAAATGTTGGAGATAATCCACATGTAAATAGTTAAGAGTTTACGTTAAGAATAAATACAAATGCTGTAACGTGAGAAATTTTTTTTAAATGTGAATATAAACATGCAATTACCAATAATCTGTCCTTAACTCTTGTATATTCAAATACATTAGTAATGCTTCCTAGTCAAATCATATTGAAAATGTTTTTAACATTAGTAATATTTCATAACAAGTGATCCATTATCTATAGTTAATTATTCCTCCTTTCCTTTTCAAAATATTTTATCCATACCTATCTTGTATGTGTAAATTTTTACAGAAAATGACACTGACCATGTTACCCTAAATAATTCTAGAATTCAGTTTTCCCATCATTAATTTTATTTGAGTTTAACAACAAAAAGTGTGTATATGTGCATGTATATATATACACACATATATATACCCACAGAATATATATCCTTCTTTCAATATATTTATTAAAATACACATTAACACTTATTCAAAGAAATAAAATATGAATGAAATATATATATATATATTTTTTGTAGACAGAGGGAAGGTAGACAAATCCCATCTACGAAAATGCACACTCCTTTAATGTCCTTAATTCATTAGTCAGACATATTGGAATGCCTGCTGCATGTTCCTGCAAAATGAGCCACAATCCCTGTGCTCAAAAGATGTATCTTTTTTTTTTTGAGACAGAGTCTCGCTCTGTCACCCAGGCTGGAGTGCAGTCGCACGATCTCGGCTCACTGCAAGCTCCACTTCCCGGGTTCATGCCATTCTCCTGCCTCAGCCTCCCCAGCAGCTGGGACTACAGGTGCCCACTACCACACCCGGCTAATTTTTTTTGTATTTTTATTAGAGATGGGGTTTCACCATGTTAGCCAGGATGGTCTCGATCTCCTGACCTCATGATCCACCCACCTCGGCCTCCCAAAGTGCTGGGATTACAGGCGTGAGCCACCGCGCCCGGCCACACATATCTTTTATAGAGTAAAATTACGGCAAAAGTGAGCAATTTGTGATTGTAGATTAAAAAAAAAACAACAAATCAATTTTTTTCACAGTCATACAGGCTGGGAGTTCAAAGATCAAGGTATGCTCAAGGTTCGCTCCTCCTGAGGCCTCTCTTCATGGCTAGCAGATGGCCACCTTCTCCCTGTGTCCTCGTGTGGTCATTCCTCTGTGTGTGTACATGTTCTAATCTCTCTTTTTTTTTTTAATTGCAACTTTTTTTTCTTTTTTAGACTCGGGGGATACACGTGCAGGTTTGTTATGGGGTATAAAGTGTGGTGCTGAGATTTGGGGTATGATTGATCCTGATACCCAGGCACTAGTTTTCCAACTCTTGCCCTGCTCCCTCCCTCCCTCCCTCCTCTAGAAGCCCCCAGTGACTTCTGTTGTTATCTTTATGTCCATGTGTTAGGTCAACATTAATTAACACACTTTACCATTTAGAGACTATATTCAGATTAAGGATCTTTTAAGTGTTTTATAAAATATGATTTACATACTAGTGACTCCATTATGCAAAAGGCCATCACTTAAAGTTGCAGAGTACTAGGTTAAGAATGATCTCTACATATATGTTTAGGTGTAGGCTTATATATGTGCGGGCACTTTTATAGGAACATACAGAATGGGGTGGAAGACTGTGAACTCTGGTTATCTGAGACAGTGTAGTAGCAACTGGGAGTGGGTGGAAGAAGGAACATAAGTCATTGCTTATATAAGTTACAATAGAAAATCCCCACCGATTCTATCAAGTGTTTATTTCAGCTAGAAAGATCTGAAATACATTTAAACTAATAACCAGGCAGTAAATATGATTTAAAAAAACAAATAAACCAGGCATATTAATATCATTTTTGATGCTGGAAATATCCAAAAAATTCATATTTTCTGAGTGTCTATGTACTGAAAAAGAAAATGAATCTGACAATGTTTAATACCACATCTAAATGCAAACATGTCTACACATTCAAGTATATTAAATAATATTTTAAAAGAAGAAATTTCTGCACCCTCACTTCCCAATACATTGTATAGATCTGGTTATGTTCAAGGTATCTATGGATATTCCAGAAAGAAGCATTAAAAAATAAGTGAACTAAGGCCATCTCTCATTCTAACAATAGCAATGTTATTTATTTCCCATTTTTCTTTCCTCTTCTAAAAGCCTTACCTTGTATATACTAACAAAAGAGCCAAGAAAAGCTCCAAGCTGGAAGTTTTCTTTATTGTAGAAGAGAGAAAGTAGCCGAGATGGCTGTGTAAATAGATGCCTAAATGCAGAGGGGATTCGGAGGCAGCACTGGATCAAGTACCCCACGCTAAACATTCTGATGAAACCCTAGAGGAAATTTGGAGGAAAATCTGATTTACAAACAAATTTTGAAGTTTTTCATAGAATATGAATTTTACCATCTCAAAATAGAAACAAGACAAAAAAAATTTAATCTAAGTTTATAGCACAGCAACTTTCAAAATAAAGCCTTAAAACCTCAAACAATAATTTTAAAATAATTACCTTAAAAATAAGAGTGAAGTCTTGGAATGAGTTTACTTTCTTTGATTTACAAAGACTTAAAAAGTCTCACAAGCACTGGCCAAGCTTGCCTATGTACCAGAATTCCATTTCTTGACATTTTGTTGACAATAACCAGGATTTTAAATTCCTAAACCACAAATGAGTTTTACATACAAAAGCACTAAAATTCCAAAAACTACTTAATAAAACCAAATGCTCTTGAAAAATGTTAACAGAAAACTGCTCTTAATGATTAGCACGAGTAGGGATTATTTTCATAGAAAAATATTTTCATTATTTGTTCAGACCTTTGGTGCTAATTTTTAAAATGGTCAGGTAAGAAGAACTTCCAGGGGGCACGGAGTGCATAATTATATCTAGGTTTTCATTCATGTGCTCCACTATGTCGGGCTAAAACATCCCTAGGGAGGAGTAGCTTTAAGGTATATCAAACTAAATTTGAAAAAGCAAACCTACTACAAATTTACTGGTAACATTTCTCTATATTTCCTTCAACTGTCCATAATGCAAAAGAGATCTGGAGAGGATGACTATTATTGGTCAATTTCATTTCCGTATTTACGAAGATGAATTTTAGATGTCTGAGAGACTATAAGTAATTAATATTAAACTGAAAAATTTCAATTAGCACAAAACATTAACAAAAAGAATAGTATTTTCTATACAGTTCAACCAATACATTGTTAATACCAGTGTCCCATCCTCCTCCTCTCTAACTCCGACTGGAATGGGAAAATATTTACACTCTTAGCAGTGTATGCCCAAAAGTCAGGTTTGTATTTTCTGGACTACAGCTTTCTTTTCTAGAAAAAGAATTAATTACTATGAGGAAACACTGGTTAATTTACCTGAAACTACCTAATACCTTATTAAAACACAAAATCAAATTGTCCAATCAATTACTGTGAATTCTCAAGCATCTGCTTAACTGAAATTGCCTAGTATTTGTTAAATGAATGAAATGGTCACACTTCTATCTTGCCACTGATAACCTTATAATGATAATCTAAGGATTTAGGGATTATAATTACATTACAATCTTTTTCATACTATTTTCAAGAGAACTATTCATCCACCCATTAATGTACTTAGAAAATATTTGCTGAATGCCTGTTATGTGCCAAACATTACACCAGATGCTGGGGATAACAGTGACGAGGAGGACAGAGTTCTTGCCTTCGTGGAGCTTTCATGTTCATTAGTGGAAAAGAAAATAACTAAGTAAACAAATAAAAAAGATTATAATAAATGTTATGAAGGAAGTAATCAGGACACTAGGATAGACATTAACAGGGCAATCTATATTAGATTAAATGTTAAAGGCAGACATGTAAATGATGTGATATTTAAATAGAACCAAAAGAGAAGAAGTTAGCATGAGAAAAACGTTTCAGACAGCTCAGACAGAAAATATAAAGCCAATTAAGAGGCTGGTAGGTGTAAGGAACCAAGAAAAAGTTAGTGTGAATGGAGTACAGAATGTTGAGGACAATATAATTAATATGAGGATTTACTCAGGGATGTGATTTAACATATGGTGTAATTAAGTTTTTGAAATAATGAGGTTCATTGTCAAAAAATTTCGCTACCATGTTTATGGCTTAAATTCCTTACCCACAGGTCTCCAAATAGTTTTACATTCATGGATATAATACAGTATTCCAATTTATACATAAATTGCCAAGTTTACAGTACTGGTACACATTTGAAAGAATCACTAGTTTTTTATTGCTTGGAAATTCTCACTAACTTTCTCATACAATTTTTTTTAATATTACCTCCCCCACTCCAAATTTCTCAAATACCTCTGATTTAATCCAAATACTTCTCTTAGATCCCCATCTAATGCTTTCCTTTGAACTACAATCATGTTCAGTTGGAAGGAATAATAAATCCAGGTACCAGCTGACTTGGACTGCCAGCAATGTTACTTTTTTTTTTTTTGGCCACTTTAAACTGAAGCAGGAAATCAAATTTGGAAAGAGTGTCAGAAAGTATTGTACAACCGAGGAACAAAACTAAACAAAACCCTACTGTTTTATCCTTGGTTACTCTGGGGAATTGTGAAGCTAAGTGTGGGCTGGGCAAATGGTACCGTCAACACTGGGTCACAGATGTTTACCTTCATGAGCACTAATGTGGGACAGTTCCTCCTTTCTAGAGTAACCATAAAGGGGCTGTCTTTTGGGGTGCTGCACAACTCTGCTCTTCTCATCATCAACTGAGTAGAGACTAAAATTGCAAGAAGAACATAAACTTTCTACAGCATTGGAACTGTTAGAGCACCATTCAAAACTAAGGAACTTGGCTGGGCACGGTGGCTCACACCTGTAATCCTAGTGTTGTGAGGTCAAGGCAGGCAGATCACCTAAGGTCAGGAGTTCAAGACCAGCCTGGCTAAAATGGTGAAATCCCGCCTCTACTAAAACACAAAAATCAGCCAGGCATGATGATGGGTGCCTGTAATCATCCCAGCTACTCGGGAGGCTGAGGTGGGAAAATTGCTTGAACCCAGGAGACGGTGGTTGCAGTGAGCCAAGATCGCACCACTGCACTCCAGCCTGGGTGGCTGAGCGAGACTCCATCTTAAAAAAAAAAAAAAAAACTAAAGAACTTGCAGCAGGTGGTGTCACCTGTGCCATGCTGACTGCAAAGAAAATAACTTTCTTCCCAGAAGTGGTGGTGATGGGGGAAGGGAGGAGGGACAACACAACGGCAGGGGAGGAGGGAGAGACATGCTAGTACACAAGTCCACTAGGGAGTCAGGAAATTATGCCAGGCATAGTTAGCTCTCTTAATGTAGAGCAACTGTGGACATGCTCCAGTTACCTCAATGGCTTAAAAAAAAAAAAAAAAGTAATAGTTTTACAAGTCCAAAATTAAATGCCATTGTACCAGACTGGACACAGTGCATACAGTGCATGTGTGTGAGTGCTGATCCAGCTAGCACACAGCACAGTCTGGGAGTCTTGTTCTAGGATGTAGTTCTAATGAGGATACATTACAAAGTACAAATTTTAATGACTTTATGTTTCCTTGTTGTTATCCCATCTTATCTCCTATGTCGTAAGTTTTAAGTAAGCCAATTTTTAAATAAGCTAATTTTTAAATTATTTAAGGATCTGGTAAGTGAATACTGAAAGCTAAACTGTCACCTATTGTCATAAATTTCTCATCTCTTGAAGTCAGATTCAAAGAATGATAGCAGTTATTAATGTCAACTTTTCCATTTACTTTTAAATTATTTCTAAATAAGTAAGTTATTTCTATACCCATTCCCTATTGTTAATAAAGTACATACTTTCATATACTTACTTTAATGCAATAAGAGATGCAATTATCTTCATAATGTTTGCAACATCTATGCCTTGGTCCATGTTTGCATCTGAAAGTGAACCCAAAAAAATTAAACTAATTATAATTAGAGTGTGTATATCCATGTGTTTGTATATGTTTGTGGATCTGTTTAAAACTTTCTAACCAAGAAAAAGGAAAAAGAGAAGAAAACATCACTCACTTCTTTTTTTTTGGGGGGGGACAAAGTCTCGTTCTTGTCCCCCAGGTTGGAGTGCAATGGTGCAATCTCAGCTCACTGCAACCTCTGCCTCCCAGGTTCATGACATTCTCCTGCCTCAGCCTCCCAAGTAGCTGGGATTACAGGCACCC